ACATACCCCATTAGATCCAAATAATATAATTTTTTAACGACAATTTTTATCACAGATATCAGATATACACGTCCATGAGCTGACCTGTAATGTTTACATCGAGGTGTCGGCAAACGGCATTACAAACTCCCCTTTTTATCCTGCAGCCCATCGACCATATATAAACAACACTTTTTTCAGTGTTTGTTTTGTTGTTGTTTTACTAAAAGGATTGCCTAATCGAATACCGCATACATACTTATTATTATTTGGTTTATACTTTGTCCCTGTGTCTGTCAGTTTGTTTGCTCACATTAGATTGGTTTTATTGGTCTTACTTAATACCACTCGACCACATGCAAACAAAACCATATGCACAGTTGCCCAGTTTGCTGGTCTGCTAGCTAGGAGGAGGATGGGCATGGATTTAGTTTTGCTGAATTTCTTCGTCGTCTTCTTGTTCTTCTTCTTGCCTTCCCTTCTGTACTCAGTATTTTTCCGCTTCGAGGGCCGTAACATTCGGACATGCAATACTTACAACAAACACCTCGTTTGCTATGTGGGGTTTAGGTCACAACTCCTAACCAAATGTGGACGACGCATTTGTCTTCTGTAAACAATTCGAATGTAAATAACACCCACAAAGTGGTAAAGAACCAATATTGAACTGAATCGAGGAAGCACAGTAGATGACATACTGGTCAGTTGGTTTTGGAGAGAGTGCGACAACACAGTTTACAATATTGCTCGAATTTGATTCACGGTGATGTGTCCATGTAGTCGTTTGTCCGTCCGCCCATTTATTCGTTTGTTTGTTGGTTTGTTTGCATACATGTCCTTTTTAAGCCGCATGATTAATTTTATGCGGTCAGAAGAAGAGACTCCCACATTCAGTCATCCAAACACTTTATATACTCGTTTGGCTCGTGCTTAGCCATTTGTAATTCCAATAACATGTCAGACTTAAATGAGTGGTTACGACTACGGCAACAGAAATGCTAAACAAGGCAACAAGACGAAAAACGCCACAACCACAAACCATTTGCTAAGCAAATAGAACGTTTTAGAGAACAAAACAAGAAAAAAAAGAAAAGTAAAACGCAGCATCACATTCACATGACCAGTCACTGGGTTGGTCATAGTGACCCAAACTATGACAGTGTCTCCTTAATTCACCATATCCTAGTAGATTCACACACACACACACTATCGAGTTATGCAACTCCATGACTTTCTGTCAGATATCTGTGCATCATTATCCATCCTTGTGCACAGCTGTTCGAGAATGTTCCAGTTTAATCCTGTGGCATTCGAAGATTTAATTATGTTTCCAAATTTTCAAAAATGCAAAACATACTTCTCCGAACAGCAGTGACCGGTTAGTGTGGCTATTATCTCTGTAATATGATGTTGTTGTAATCATAGCAGTTTGTAGCTGTGTAGCAGATTAGGATTATGGCAATTACTTTAAGTTCGGAAATGTTGTTTTAATCAGTCAGATGAATGGTAGTTGGGTAAATTGTTTCTAAACACGCACACGCACACACACACATAAACAAAGTCGACGCTTAGTATTGAGATTGTTTGTATGTATGGGTGTTATTCACTTTAATATCTGACATGAGAAAAATGTAAAGAAATTGTATAAAGGGTTTGGACAAAAGAAAATTTTGTTTTTGGAAGAAGACGGGATATTTTTATGTTTACTATTTATAGTGCGTTTCGTAAAATAGAAGTTGCATCGCCGTTACTGGCTTCTAAAATCATGCATTCGAATTATCCATTGAACATTTTATCGATGTATTTTTTTAATTCCATATATTTTGACAACAAAAGTAGATATCAACTTGCCTTACTGTATGACGCAATATATACCTCTTGGAAGCAGAACAATAGTTGTGGCATTGTATTTTAAAAATCTATTAGAAATTTGTTTTCCGCAAAAAATATATTCGTGATATACCATATTAAGTGATGTGTAACTCCAATTTCATTATTCGAACTAAATACCTATAATAATCTGAGTTTGATTTTGTAACATAATACAGACTAATGCAATTCTTCTACAGGCTTCATTCTAGTTTTTTTTTTAAGATTTCGCCCTTTGAGACACCACCAAATTGAGACACCACCAAATTAAGACACCACCAAATTAGAGACAGATCCTTGAAACAAAATTTGACATGTATTCTGTAGACATTTAGTAACGATACAGGAAGAGGTATCACTCCACAGAGGTCCTCAACACATCAATAAATGCTCATTAAATTAAAAATTAAAATATTTTCAAATTCAGATGTAATAAAAATTTAACACTAAATCATTCGAGAGTAAAATCGTTCAATGTTCAACCCCATGATGTGAAAAAACTTGACATTCCATTCATTTTTCGTGATATTTTCTTTATTTAATAACATTGAAAAAAAAAATATCTCAAATAACAAACCTGTTGAATATGTTTATATGTAAATGTGACATAAAAATACATGACACTAGCCTACAGTTTTTTTTTTAATTTCGTCAAGTAAGCCTACCTCTTGCTATTGTACCACTCAGTCTAATTTGTTTTATATACGTAACTAGGCATTTGGCTCAAATGTACTACCATTTTGTACTAACGAACGCAGACAGGGAACAATTGACTTCCCCAATGACTTACCCATCTTAAATCCACCAGACTAGGGCATGATGTGGTAACCAGTTACTCGAACTACTGACATGAAACAATTAAAATACAGTTTAAAACCCAGTATAAACGTCCTAACAAAAAAGGGAGTCTTACTGATCACGTATAAATTGAACTTGTATAGTCAAAATATATGCATATGAACCTATATTTTGTAGTTTGTACACTGAGGGAAAACACTTTGGGAAAAGAAACACGCTCGTTGTCGATTTTTCATCATGCGTCGTCACTTTGGTTGTGACAACGCTTGTTGCCAATTTGTCTACAGGCGTTTACAATTCTTAGTATTTGACCACGATACGTTGTCATGTTTGAGAATGTGACAACGGACGTTGTCAACTTGTATTTATATGTATGCGTTCAAATCAGCAACAACACGTACCAATCGAATGCTTTTTAATCATTGTTATCGTGTTTCTCAAAGTTAATAGACGCATTGTGCAAAAAAGAGTTTAAAAAATTCCAAACGCCAAAGTTGCAGTGGACGGTGATGACGATCATCAACTTATAAAATTCAATCTTATAGCGGCACAGGTAACATTTCGGAGTTGCAGTATACACAAAGATTTAAAGAAGGCAATACCACAATTAGGAATGCGTGTGGTGTTCAGGGAAAAGTTTTTCGCTTGAAAAACAAGGGTGTTATATTTGTGGTGCTATGAAATGCATCACTATATTTATAGTTTTGAATGAAACAATGTCAGTACCTTCTAGATGGTTGGTAGAAACGCAATGATACAACTAATAGCACTTCTGTTTAAATTGTTCCATTTTTTTTTAAATTTTACTTATTTCTTTTAATACAATATGTTTGAAATAAATATAAATATTATTTTAAATTTTGGTTAAAAAGTCTTCTTCAATTTTTAGGGAAAAGCTTTTCGCTTGAAAAACAAGGGTGTTATATTTGTGGTGCTATGAAATGCATCACTATATTTATAGTTTTGAATGAAACAATGTCAGTACCTTCTAGATGGTTGGTAGAAACGCAATGATACAACTAATAGCACTTCTGTTTAAATTGTTCCATTTTTTTTAAATTTTACTTATTTCTTTTAATACAATATGTTTGAAATAAATATAAATATTATTTTCAATTTTGGTTAAAAAGTCTTCTTCAATTTTTAGGGATTATTATATACAATAGGACCCATACTTTGTTTTTATTTTTCGAGTTCCCCTGTTGGTAAGAAATTCACTTGCAACCGTTTTTTAGCAAGCGCACTCGTAGTTATTGCCAATTTGTTTTCTAAACTATTTTCTGAGGGCCAACTTAACAATGATTCAATTTTTAGCCGTTTTGTTCGGGTGTTGTTGAGTTTGTGGTATATAAGTATGTATGCGGAATTCTAACATCAACGAGGGTGTTTGGATTCACGTTCAATATATTATATTTAGTTCAGCAAGTTTCATAAAACTTTCATTTGTCTTGTGTTGTTGTTACACGTTTAGTTTACAAGTAACAACTTCATTAAATTGTCGAACATTGATATTACTTTTACATGTTCGGTGTTGTACATAGTCGTATATTAGGGAAAGTTTTGCATGTTAGAATTTATATCCTAAGACAACGGTTATTGTTTCACTTTTTCCTTCTAGCCTTCTCTGAAATTGTTCTGCCCTTTTGCATTTCATAATATGACAGATTACTCGCCATTAAATAGTGTGTTAGTCGGTACGACTGTATGTCTATATCTAGTTCCCAAAATGTGACTAGGGTTTCATTTCAGAACGCAAACACAAAGCCAAAGCTATTCCAAGCGGATGGAACTCAAACGAGGCGAGTATTTGTCATTCATTAATTGAATTTACAAATGAAACCTCTACAAGCTCTTTTACAGTCAACTATTCGCGATGGACGAATGGAGGGGCGCATCTGTATGGCATGGTTGTTGGCAGAGGATACAAGTGTAGGGGGAATTGAATACAAGGAAAAAGTTTTACAGGCTCATCCTGAATAAAATATGAAATTAAAACAAATGTTGATGTTGTTGCATATTTTATCTATTTATATAAGTTTGGGTGGCTGTGGGAGAAGAGTGTAAAATGTGTGTGGCTGTACAAATATTTCCCTTGGCAAGTTCTCAACTGTGATTTAAACCATAGATCCATTCCTGAGTCAACTTTTGCTGGCAACTTCATTGATTTCACTTTTGTTTCCGCGACAGACGCTACATGTTTGTGTTTGTAAGTAGGGAATTATTATTGTGTTTGTATGGCATTATTAGGAGCAGCGGTGTAAACCACTTAGTGGCGGTGGTGGTGGTGTGGCACAGCCAACGGGGAATGTGGGAATGCGTTGTACTCTTCAATTGTTCCAGTCGAATTCGGATGTTGATGTTAGAAAGCCTGTGGTTTACGTGTGGGTCGCTTGGTTTTTTGTTTCTGTTTGGTGACGACGGCAACAGGAACGGTTGTGGTCTCTATGGGTAAATCGTAATGCGGTACATTTAAACTACGTGGCAGCACAGGGGCCCTATCCGAATAGGTAGCTGTAATGAAAGTATAATTCGTTATGCAGATCATTAAAAATGCGATGAAGGATCTAGTTGCACGTCAATACTTGTTGTACACACAGACATATATTTTTATGCAATATTCAATATTGTTATATTTTAGAAAAACCGAATAATTGTTGAGACATAAAACAGCTGGTACATAAGAAATGTTACATGTATACATTTTCAGAACCAAACTTTTTAAACCGGTAACCATGAGAAGATATTTGAATTTCTCTGATTTGGCAGCATAGGTGCTAGAACCCACAAATTATAAATTCATTGGTGTTTGTGAGAAGATTCTTAAAATGACAAAACTGCCAAACGACAGACAATTATCTTGGAAAATGTGGTAGAAATTTTCAAGGACCAAAAATTCAAGGTGACGTTGTATAGTGACTAAGCCTGTGAATATTTTTGAGCTGTAAAATTTGTTTGGTCACGACTAGGTTAAATATGGAGTCGGTCACATAATGACATTTGCGGAAAAGGATATTGGTTCCTCTTATTTCTATTATACCATTTTGAAATTATTTTGAACTTACATGAATCTTGATGATATCCCTTGTCATCTGATGAATAAAATACTGTCAGATATTTTCCATTACTTAGAGGGTGAGAGTAGTAACCCTTGCGACCCATAACTTTTGATTTACCCACTGGAACCCAAAAGGATTTTTCGTGACGAGATACACCATTGCTAAGTACATACCTGTGAATGAAAATTATTAAATATTAAATTGTAAAAATAAATGAAAAAAATATTTTCATGAAATGCCCGTGAAGATTCGATAACTGTTTATCACTGGTACACAAAATTGAAATACACAGAAAATTACTTCGTGATTTTTTTCACACCGAATATTAATTAGATTTATGGCGTCTTGAAATTGCTTTTATTCTAAATTATTATGACATTTTTGGATGGCATGAATTATGAATTTTTAATTGCATTTTTTAACATGGAAAAATAACGTGTTTTTGATAGAGAACAATGACTTATATTGTGTACCCATAGTATGCCTAATTTGCTAATAGGATTATGTACCAAAAACAGATTACTTATGACAAAAATTCCTGTTTAAGGAGTTTTTGGAATATACTATGTGCCTTAATGTTGTACATTGTCGGTTGGAATTTCGATCTTAATAGACAGACCAATTATTATTTCATTATTATCTTTCGAAGGAAATCAACTGAACCTGTCAAAGGACCGGTCGGTAGCATTATTGCATACAATTTTTTGACCTTTGGATATTCTTTGACATCCTGTTAAGTCGAACCCAATAAAAGCTAGCCTGTCCCATGGTGTGAGGAATGTTTAGTAGTAATTTTGAAATATTTTGTCACTTACTTGTATTCATAATTTCCATCCAAATAACGTTGATCCATTTGTTCAATTACGCGGGGTTCTTTTACCTCAGCCGGGTGATAATATTTTTGAGTAGTTTTGTCAACAGAACGACTTGTGGTTGTTGTTGGCTTTGTTTTAGTGGGTCTTCTTGACGACTGAGTGACGGCAACACCTGCCATTGCCGAATGGACTAGGCCACAGACCAAAATGACGGCCATTACTGGAAAGGTTCCACGTACCATGTTTAGTAGCACTAAAATTAGACTTCAATTTCAGACGGAAATTTCTCAATTTCGTGCCCTTATGATTTTATTTTATTTGGTTTCGGTTTTTATTTTTCGATTCGTTTGGTTTTACGTCCGGCACTTGTTCCAGCTTGTTTTCGGCACACAAGTCAGGCTATTCGATATTTCCGACTACTAGGATGTAAAATATTTGTGAAAATGGATTTTGATTTGCAAGTTTATGCTTGGCTGGAGAATTGGTAATTGATATTTATCTTGAGAAAGTCGTAAGCTTTTATACCCTTAACCACAAAACGGAAAGAATTTTGCTTTGAAATCTTTGGCTGGCTTTCATCGTTCCTTTTGTTCTTTCTCCATTTTGGCAGAGGCAATTTCTTTCCTGTTTTTGTGGTTATCGTCGTCGTTGTTGTTGTTCTTCATCGTCTCATCTCGAAAAGATTTGCCCATTCTAAAATGTGCATAAGTATTCAAACAAATACAAACACAAAGTGACAGACTAACCGACACATACTGTAATGCATTGCCTTGTAGTATGTAAAATACTTTCGGTTGAATTTTTTACATTTTACAAAATTAAAAAAAGGAAAAATATATTTTTTGAGAGCACAGTGATGTCGTTCATATTTTGGATACAAATGTGAACAATGTTGGATATTCGCTAATAAATTCTTTTCAGGGATTAGGTAGTATTAAGTAGTAAATTGATGCATAGAAGCACAATATTGGGAAAATGTTTCCTATATTTCCCATATGCATATACAGGGGCGGCACACCATTGCATATACAGTGGTGGTCACGTAAATAAAACATTTTCTGTGGTAAAAATTTTTTGTTCAGCCCTCGACTGATCAAAAAACCGTAGGGTTAATTTTATACACCTCGAGTAAGTGTTTTTATTTCCCACCCTATTCCATTATTGCTACTGGGTTGTGATTGTAAACCTATGTGATCAACACAAATAGTTATAAGTTCACATATAGATTTTTTCGGAATATATTTTTTATTTTATTTGGAAAATTCCTTAGTCAGAATTTAAAGAGAGATTAGTTTCCAAATGTCATATTTTTTACAATTTCAGGGAGTTTCGCCAAAAAGTCCTAAGATAGTAATGGTTTAGACTTAATTATTTAGCTAAATGTTGACTTTTTTAATTAAGTAATAACAATTTATATACCTATATGATATATAGTATATGACAATAAATTATATATCTTATTCCGCCTTGATATGCGGATGGATTTTTCATGTTCATATTTTTATAACTTTATTCTAAAATAAACGTTTTATCATAAATGTTAACATGAATATAACGTCGATCTTAATCTTGTCTTAAAAAGTCATAAACTTCAATATAAATCCCATTGATACCGTTGGGAAAATGATCGTAAAATTGTTTATTGATTTTTTAATTGCTGTCGAAAAGTATTGAACACTACTCCCTCTATACGTCAGGGCATGACACAAATTTGTTTATTGAAAATAAAAATCCTTTGATGACTCAATGTTGTTTATGGTCAATAATTAGTTGCAAACTCTAAATGATAATTAAGTGGAGATGGAATATGGTGTATCGGAAATATTTGCATTCCATCAAAAATGAAAAAAAACTGTTGCATGGCCTTAGGTGAATGAAATATAAATTGAAAAAAAAATGTATTAAAGGTATTTACTGCTAATCTGGCATTTATATTTATCTTTTATTGTTTATTAATTTTAATTGCTGTTGATGGAATGTTAAAATGCAAATACGCTACTTCGTTTAGTCAAATTCAATATAAATGTGAAAGATTAAGACTTCATAATCTTATGTGAAACTCCTTTGAAGATATTATTACAAATTTAAATTACCGAAATTGTTTAAGGGACCCCCCCCCCCCCCCCCCCCCCCCCCCCCCCCCCCCCCCCCATTCTCGATTTTTTATTTTTAAGATTTTAAATGGGCTGGTAATTGAATACCAATATATATTTGAAGATTTAAAAAGGAAGAAAAATAATTTACAAAATATTTGTGTTGTTGTTTTTGTGATTAAAGAAAAGCCTTATTTTTGATGGCGGGCATGATAACTCCTCACTGAAACATCGAAATCCAAAAATTCCAACGGTGTTAGAAAGAGTACATGACTGGCTATCGTATGTACTAGGATTATTGACTTCGCTCTAAAATTAACAAAATGGCGGAACTTTGATTTTTTTTTGGAAAATCGCCTATTTTTGACCACAAACCAAGTTAAAAAATAAGGAAGATCTTCACCAATTGGCTTTATCCCAGTTCATACGATAGTTACACACTCCCAGAGAAACGTGTAAAAATTTTGAATCGATTGGATTGTTAGTTTTTGAGTTATCGTGTCCGCCATTCGTAAAAAAATGTTTCGAGAAAAACGCGTTGAAAGTTTGAGAATCACTCTTGCCATCACTTGATGCTGATACAATAAATCGGCTATATCTTCAAGAGTTCTTGAGATTTTCACTTGAAATTTTGTAGGGACATTCTTGAATCAGAGTAGATTTGAACAAAATCAAAAAAAAAAAAAAAATTCACACCGAGAATGGGGGGGTCACCTTAAATGCACAAATTTTCAAAAAATTTATATTCACAAGAAAGCTAATTATAAAAAGACCAAATGGTGATATTTTTCCTTAAATCATTAAGTCGAGTGAGCTGCGCATTCGTACAATGTATTTATATACCAAACGCACTTTTTTGGAATCCAAATATGGTTTCAATCCACTGTTTCCTGTCACAGTCGATGATGTATGACTTTTTGCGGTCATTACGGGTTATATGATAATGGACGCATTTTGGAATATTCTTTTGTGTGCGTGTGTTTGAAACATACACATAAATACTGGAATTTTTTTGACAATATTGTCAGAAGTTTTCTTCGCAAAAAGATGATTATTTGTCGGAACAAATATGTGGGCGTACTAAATAAATTTTAAAGCACACTTCACTGGCCATTGTCCAATCGCTCGGCATGTTTGTTGACCACAACACTTGACACTCCTACAATATTATTTTGTTAAAATGCGAATTTCGTGTTAACAAGTCGTCAATTGATGACGATGCTGATGATACGATCATTGCAAAAACAAAAACAACAAAAATATAATAATATTGGACATTTCTTCTTCAGCTTCTATTTTTTGTTTTTGTTATCGCTGCAGAATTATTAAGAACAGCTTAGCACAGATTCCCAGCAGCGTTCGGAGATGTGGGACACATTCATACCCCACACTGTTTAACGATTTAGCGTTCCGGCGCAGTGAACAGGTTTGTCATCGTCAGCGCTGCTGCCGCTCTTGGGGACGTCAATGGAATCGATTAAATTAATTTAATGCTAACATCCATTAAACAAGCAATAAACAAGTGAATATTTGTTGTTATCACAAGCGGGCGCACTCCTTAACGGATAATAAGCGTCGTACTCGTATCTACCGCGCCAAAGTGGCACACATCACGTACATACTGCCATTGTCGTTAGGCCGACATGGGCGTCAGAAATGTTTTTATTTCGGAAATTCAGAGCAGACAATTTAAATTCAGGTCGAGTGAAATTTTAGCGCTTTATTTTATGACCTAATCAAAAAAAAAGCGATGCTCAAGTAAAGAAGCGCCTTTGCTATAAAACGCAAAGGTTACAAATCGTTAAGCGTAATTGTGATTAAATTACTGGAGATGATGACAAGTGCTGGCGGGTGATTATGTCGAATTGTTCTGGTTAAACAGTTTCTTGTTTGAGTTCTGAAGAAAACAATTTTCTGAGATTAAATGTCTGTGAAAATGTAGACGAAAATTATTTTCCGATTACAATTGAGAGCCTGTGATTAAAGAAATTATATAAATACGTTAAACTTGATGATGACATTCACGTTACCACTATAACGATTGTTGTTGCTCAAACAAGAATAATAAGCATTACAACAACATATTGAATCAATAACCACAGTACTATTCTAATCTATTGCGGTCGTAACATTTGCTGTGGCAAAAACTCTTCTATTTCAATTGACTTCAAATAACAGCCAAGAATCGTGCTGTTGATTTTTTGGAAGAGAATCACTTTTTTGATTGCCAAAATTGTGGGCATATTCCCAAAAAAAGAAAACAAAAACATTTTTAAATAAGCAAACAGATCATGGATTCAGGCCAATGCGCCGCACATATTGCAAGCGTTAACAGAATCAATCTGAAGAACAAATAAATGCTGGCACATGCATGGAAATCCAAAACATGACAACAGAAATTTGCATCTACACAGTGGTAGCTGGGACAATGACCCCCCATCAAAATGATGGACACGATTTATATTTTAATTACAATTAGTTACTCCGCAATGTATTAATTTATTTAAATTGATAAACTTCAGTTCATGGAACCACTTGAGAATATTAAATTAACCGGTTCCAGGTAAAGTTAACAGGTCATTCTTTAAAATGACTGAATCATGAATGAGACCATTGAGAGCGAACCAAGGGATGAGAAGGACCGGCCAGGCCAGGCCAATGTAATGCAACAAGTGGCATGTTAATAATGTTTAATTAAAAAATCACAACATGACATAAATTGTTATAAATGTTCTTTTAAAAGCAAAAATGAGTTTTTGTTTGAAGCTGCTCGCTCGGCATGATTGATGGACAGGGTGGAGTGTCAACGGCTGTCTGTAATGGAAGAACAAAGGCGTATAATGTTACTTAACATGATTCATGATAAACATCAGTCAACACATTCGATTTACCACAGCAGCTTGTGAATTTGTTTCGCACATTAAAAAAAGGGAATAATATCAAGTTTGGTTCGAGGCCTAACGAGAGCTATACTACTCTTTCGCACGCTATAATGAAAAAAGGGCTTTGTTAGTGGCCAAAAAAGCAGGTCGACATGGCATTTATCATGATTTGTTATGTGATAACCAATCATGAGATTGAAATTATGACGTGGTAAACATCTCTAGATCATAATTGAGTCCCGTTGAAACTTCAAGTAAATAAATAGA